TTATACTCATAATAATCTATTGTTAGCATACTTCTCCTTAATTGCATTATATCTCACTTTCTAAAAAGATTATCTTAAATACTATTCTGATCTACTAAGGCTCATATACTTATCAATGGTCTTTTTATGCCCGATGTCAATTGAATGTTCTTCATGAATGTAAAAATAGACAACCATAACCATTGTCCCGGCACAGAGTATAGAATCTCCATGCAGGATGGGTCTTACTAACCCTCTTTCTTTAAGCAAATAATAGCAGGACTCTATTGCTCTTGGTAGAATCATGACCTTAAGTAAGTTTAAGTCTCTAGAATCAGCAATAAAGAGAGCAGCTGATGCTAAAATAGATGCCAGAAACACTTCTTAATCAATACTTATTTTAATTTCAAATTTCTTTATCAACAGCCTAGCCACTTTAAAGATAAAGGACAATGAGAAAGTCATTAATCCAAATTTAAGAATTGACCTGGGGTTTTAGAGAACTCTCACCACATTTAGCCTATTCTGAAGTAAAGCGAACAAAAATTTTAGTAATGCTCCATAAGCGAAACACTTTCCAGATTTTTAAAGAATTTAGTCAAACTTTAACTATTGGTCCAATTGCTATTTCCCATTTGATTTAAGATCTTTTTTGTTATCTTCAACCGATCCAATTTTTTCAAGTTTTTCCAAGTCAATCACTTCTGAGCATCTGCCTTAGTCTTTGATCTCTTCCATTTCGGTATCTATTTTAAAGATTCTTATTAAATAATACTGATATTGATAGTAAATTATTTATACCTATCTTTTAATGAAATACGTGAGCAATTATCTTAATCTATTTATGTTGAAAAATTAGTAAGCTTATAAAAGCAGCTGAGTAGCTAATATTAAGCACACAATAGAAGAACAATATAATTTATAGTTAAGTTATGAAATTAAGATTAAAATGCTCATCATTTAATAATAAATTTGTCTCATGATTGCTGTTCACCAAATATGATTAGTATTTAATTGATGAGATAATCAAGTTTGATCCCTCATAATTCAATAAAACTCTCATGACTCATAAGATCATTGAAGATCAAATCTTCAAACATATTAAAGATAAACTTTCTAGCCTTGGGCTTGAATCTGTAAAGTGAGAGTAGGACTATAACGTGCTCAAAGACTTTGGGGTTCAAGAATTGTTACTTTTCTTTCTCACTAAAAGGGTTAATTTATAAATAAGTATATTAATAAATGACTTACAGTAACTTCCTAAGATCCCCTAGTGCCTGAACTTCTGTAACACCATTGATAAGGTTGCTCACAAGTTTCACAATATCTTATTCTTTCTCGTTTAGAGGAATTAACTGGTTTAGCTTTGCAACCCTCTGCCATACTTCATCTCTCATTGAAATGTCTCCTTTGTATTGATAGTTGTTGACATTAAATAGAACAGCTGGGTCTTTAGGCAAGCAAACTGATATTCCCTAACTCTATGAACAGATCCAGTTGTAGTGCTGAATATCACCTTGCCCTTGAGCACTTTTGCAAATCAATCCCATGATGTAGATGCATGTCCTAACAAATTTAGTAATAAAAATGATACCCTCTTATTGATAGTATTTCAGCACTTTCAGCAAGTTTAACTAGTTCTTTCATTATTTCTGCTTCTTAAATTACCTTATATCCATACTCAGTGCTTCCTATATGTCCGATTGTCCACAGAGCTGCTCTCTTTCTGATAAGGGGTGTGTCAGGTGACAATATCTCTTGCTTGAAATAATAAATATCCTTAGTTTATCTTAAGTAATTAGCGCCCTCTTCAGTCTTCACTAATTCCCCATAAAGATGCACTGGTGTTTTAATTATTTTATACTTCTAAGGCAATATCTATATTCTGTAAACAATAGAATCTAGAAAGACCCTCTTTGTATCATCTTAGTGTCCTAATTCATTGATGCCACTGATTGAGTTATGATTGGTTGGCTGATTGTCCTTATTACCACTGTTTCCTGAGCCCATTAGATTTTACTGATTTGCTGAATTTCCTGTTCCTCGTTGCAAATTAAATATGATTCCATTTTTGAGAATTCTAAATTTGCTAATCTTTTAGTTAGTACCTGATTTATTTTTGTCATTTACATCAGTTATCGTCCAATATGGGTCTTTGCATTCATTAGCATGAGAGTCAATATAGCAAGCGCCTAGCTTCATACAAACTGAGATATAGTAATAATTTTCGATCGGAAGTGCATGTAACTTGCTATGCTTACTTATTACCTTGCCAACAATTGAAAGTTAATTATCGCTGTCACATTCGATGTAAGTTTGTAGGGCTTCTTAAACTATAATTTCATTTTAAAGGTTTTCCACTTTAATAAAGATTTGGAATGGATATCTCTTGAGGATCATTAATTCATTTCTGAAATCATTTGAATGCTCATAAATGGGGATCCAAATGCTCATCGCAAAGGTCTACTAATGAATAGCTGATGGACTCATGTTAAGTCCTTCATATAAGCTTTTCTCAAGTCTCAGTATATATTCCAAGTTTTCAGTCTCTTTCCATTCTTAGAGTTTGTTTTAAAGCCAACCCTCTTATTTTAATAATGCAAAACCTTTCTGACTTCTTAAGAATTTAGCAATAAAAAGTTCACTTTACTCACCCTTGAGTGAATCTAAGATTTTTTCGTTTATAAAAAGCAGTTAATTTAGGGAGTTCTGATCAAAGCAAACTTCTTCTAGAACATCAAATGCTGCTGTTGCAATCTCTTCATAGTTACCATAGGCCACAAGCTAATTTAGGAATGGTAAGCACCAATAATAGAAGTCATTAAGACCAGATCTAAATAGCATTCTGAATAGCTCAATAATGGATTTAGCAAGGTTAGGTGAGCATTTAGTAATCCATACTTCAAGCATTTTTCTGGTTGAGCTCGCAAATCCATAATCGAATCTAGATATAGTTTATTTACAACTATGAGTTGACTTACGATTGCAAAATAATCTGACAGAAATGATCATAATATCCATTGTTATCAACCAGTTGCATAAGATGATCGAAAATCTTGAATTTCTTCAAAAGTTTAATGCCCTAAAATATAAGTTAAATTTAAGCTTACATCTTTTGTAGTTGTGAATAGCCCAAGCCATGATATGTATTCTCTCATCATAGTCTGTGTAAGTCTCCTCTTAGTAAAGAATCTCTATTCGTCAGTAGCACCTATCTATGCCTGACTCAGTAGCTATAGCCCTGCTGATGAGCCAGTATTGCCAAGATTTTACTAAAGTTACTGTTAAAAAGAGTTTTAATTTGGCTGCTATACAAAACTCTAGTTTGATTTTTATTATCCAGTAGCATTAGCTTAGTTTTATCTTCGATGCTTTCTACCGTAGTTAGCTCTGCTCTAAACCAAATAGTTTACTTCCCTCTCTAATATATCACAAATCTCCTATAGAAAACTTTTCCTATGATGGAAGATATTATCCTTATTTTCAACGAAAGTAAGTCCAAACATAAAGAACACTCCTGGCGAGCTAGATAATGCTTTTTAACCTTCTTTTGAGCTAAGAAGAGTCTTGATAAGATTATAACCTGCTCTAGCATAAAGTAAATTTTCCTCTCTCTATATTGTTGATATGAATAAATTAACTAAGTTTGACTTACCCATTCCATATTGATAAAATACTATTTAGATGGCATGAAAAAGTTAAGAATTCTCTTGATAAATTTAGTTTTCTTCATTACTTCCTCTAGTCTTGCGGGAGTTAATAAGTTGCCCTCTAAGACTTCATTAATGATATACCAGTTCCATCTTCTATAATCTTTTTGCTGAAGTACACCTGATTATCTGATCTTGTTATTGAATTTCTGATCGTCAATCTCTGAAAAGTAAAATTGCTGCAGTAAGATAAGTTAACAGATATAATTACCTTTAAGTCTACAAGATAGTTTGAAATAACTGTATTAAAAGGTAGACCAAGTTGCATAGAATTGAAGTACTCATAAACTCTCATAAAGAGCATTGAAAAATCTTTGGTGGTATGCTATAGTTATGAGTAAATAAATTAAGATATTAATTTACATTCTGACTATTTCCAAATATTTCATTATTCTTAGATAACTCAAGAGGGTTCTTTAACGAAATAGTTGACAACTCCTTTATCATTTTAGTAGCTCTTGTCTAAATAAGAATGAATAGATGTTATAATTACTCTAGTATATTGATTTTCATGACTGAAATCTGAAGCTATTTTGATTAGTTGAGGGAAGTGTGGAACATCTGGGAGAAGGTAGGAACTCAAGTACATTATCTTTTTAAGTAAAAATTTACTCTTCTTATTGAGATCTGATCCTTCTTCTGTGGTTGTTCCAAGTTTAATGAGAGCTTCATAAATTCCACTATAATAAAATGCTTGCAAAAGTAGTGCCACGTAATTGTTCAAAAGGTTTTCATTGAAGTTGACAATGTTAGTGGATAGGCATACACTATTTGAACCTATAGAATTGATATCAGTCCCAGCAATGTAGATAGGTATATTGAAGATGTCAACAAAAGTATCCAAAATTGCTAACTTCTTGAATAGCCTAATAGGCTGTGTTAGAGAGTTTACCAAGCTTTGAAGCCCAAGAGGACTAGATGTTAGGTAAATGACACCATTCCAGTTTCTCATGATAGTGACGATGGCCTTGCTAGCAAGACTCATTTATGCAAGAATCTTATCTAAGATTTCCTTTTTCGGATCTTTATCTACTCCATCAACTGTTGTGAAAACGCTAAATATTCTATCTAGGTCTTGGAAATGCCTAAAATACACTCTGGTTTTAGGGTCGTTGATAAGCAGTAGTAAAGTTGAAGCAATTAGATCATATCTAATACCCTGTAAGGATAGATCAGTCAAGCATTCAATTAATAACTTAGTTGCCCCAACATTTGCAGCTACTTCTGGGCAAGTAGTTACCAAACTAAGCAAGGACTCAACTGCCTTTTTCCTCAAAGCAACATCCTCCAGATTCTTAGCAATGGATACAAGAATCTGAGCAAAAATGAAGGGGAAGTTAGATGGGCTGTATTGTATCCAAGTATTGATAAACTTGAGACATTGGATTCTTTCCTTAGCCACGTTGCTAGACTTAAACTCTCTCTCAATTAGGAAACTTATAAGCAGGTGTATCTTCTTCTCTTTCATGACAGGGGCTATTTTCTTTGAGATCTTAAGTATCTTTTTTAGAGCTCTGATGCATGATTCTCTGAGTGAGCGATCTCTCTCACGAAGGAGTAAAAGCTTTCTAAATTTAGTATAGATTTCCTTGTTTGTAAAAAGCTTTTTAAGTACTTTCTTGATTGTCTTCTTATTTTGTTCCTTTGGTCTCAAGTTTTTGAGGTGCTAAAATCAGTTATGATGAGTATTTTACCATAAATCCTTCAATAATCTCGTAGAGAACTTTTGTCTTGATCTATTCAATGTCCTCCTTTGATTTCAATGCATCAATGCTGTGAATCATTCTGTTAAGAACATCTGTAGAGTAAAACATTAATTAACTTAATTTTTACCATTTTCTTCTTTTGTCAAATGTATCTCGATTGAGGTAGAGCCTCTTTTCACTGCTACTCCGCTGGATACTTTGGTCTCTTCAGACATTTTAATTATGATAAATTGGATTTTTAATAATATTATTATATTTTTTGATTAATCAGAGATAAACTAAAGTTCCCTTAGTTTCGAGTATTGTGCAAAAATTATGTTAATTATTAGTTATACTTTTAAATAAATTACTTACTTACTTGTTTAATGGATTAATCAGTTGGTGGCCCAAACAAATGGGATCAGTCTCCTTAGTTCTAGTCAATGAAATAGAATAATATGAATCCAAACTATCAAAGTATGCCTAACTTACAGAGGGCTGGAAATGATATCGTCTCAGCTGGACCATCTAGTGGTCATCAAAGACCATTTGATATTAGGAATCAGGAATAAAATGATAGAAAGACCTCATATGCAAATGAATTGAAATAATAGTTGGCAGAATAATAAAACAGAAAAATCATGGAGAAATAATAAGATAAGGTAGAGGATATGCAATACCTAGAAGATAATATGAGCTACAATCCTTTCGGTAGAGGAGGTGGTGGAGCTCCATTGAGAAATCAGTTTGGTTCAGTTATCACTACCTTCAAGCCTCAGTTCAAGAATAATTACACAAGGTTGCATTTGAATAGGAACACAGATGTCTCAGTACATACGAGAGCTAAGAGTAGACATGTAAACAGGAATCAGGCTATATCTTAGCATCCAAGTAGATATGAAAACTAAGATGATGGGGGCTTTTTCGGCAGATAAGGTACAGCAGCTCCCTATAGAGGAGGTGGCGGTGGAGGAGGAGGTTTCGGAAATAATGCACTTGGAGTCGATTTCTCAAAGCCAGCAGCAGCTGGCATCTAAAACCCAGATTTTCAACCTGATTACTATGTCGACCCACTTCCAAAGCCAGTACCTAAAGATGAGCCATAGCCAGACTATATTGTCGAGAATAAAGTTATTCCAGGATAAGCATAAGTGTAGCCTGTAGTCTAGCAGTAAGTTGTGTATGATTATTCTCTTTGGCTTACCGAACTTCTAAATTTACTTTATTATGAGAGATGTAACTTGAATTATTTATAACTATCATTTTTAGTGTTGAGAGAAGATGAAGATCGAAGAAGAAGAGAGCATATGCTTATGGAGGAAGAAAGACTCAGAAGAGAAAAAGATGATTTAGATTACAGATACTAAAATGAGCTTAAGGATAGACAGCGCTCATATGAGGGTAATCACCTCTAATTTAAGCTAATTTATTATAGATTTATAAGAAGATACTTTGAGAAGACTATAGGTGTTTTGGGAGAACCTTCATGATGATGAGATGAAAAAGTGGGAGGATTTGATGAAAACAAGACCCATGGTACAATATGTCGAGAGAGATGATACTCTGAAATTATCTTAAGCTCTTGTAGATCATCTATAGAAAGCACTCAGAACAGAGTTAGATAAAACTAAAGCGAATATAGACATGCAAGAAGTCGATTTACAGGCTTAGATAAATCATTTAAAAAAGGAAAACTTTGATGCCGATAAGGAAAGAATGTCAACCTTACTCGAAATCGACTAGATCAACAGAATTCTCGATGACTAAAAAGGCTTCGATGGTATTAGAAGTAAATATGTTTACTAAACTTTACTTTGGGATAAATTACTGGACAAGAGACTTTTCTAAAATAAGAGTATTAAAGATATGCCTGAACTACTTGATGCAAAGAGTGCATATTTGAAGCCAAAAGATAAAGATACCTATAGATTAGCTGATGCTATGGAAATTCCAGACAGACCTCTAGATAGACCTCTTTAAGGCATCAATGTTGATAAAATAAATGCAGAAAGATTGAATTAAAAGAACTAGCAGAGACTTAACTTTTATGAGTAAAAGGTGAAATAACCAGAATTTGAGCTAGACTTTTTGGATAAAGAGTTAATAAAATCCTCTAAGAAGTTTGAAGATGCAAAGTATACCCCTTCACGATATGGTGGCTTATAAATTGGTGAGCATTAAAAGCACTATTCACAATCCTTAAAATTCTGACTTAGTATCAATTCATTTCAAGAGTTGTAAGGGATTCAAAATATTAATCTTACAAGGACTAAGCTTTAATAATATAATACTAACCTTAACTTCATAAATCTTTGTAAATCAAACTACTTTTCTCCATAATATTTAGCAATTTGAGCATCGGGGTTTTGGGGTTTTGGGGTTTTGGGG